CGTTTCGGGGGCCTGGCCACTGAAGCGACGCAGAAAAACGGGATCTCTTTTAATGTCATTGGCGCGTAAACTGCCCGCGTAAGGTCGCGCGTTAGCGCTTCCGTTTCTACTATGGCATGCCGCGCTGGCGGCCCGCGTACGCCGCGGCGTAAGGTTGCTAAGCCATCTCGCGTAGGACCGTTTCTTTTCGTTGCTTAATTTGTGTACCCCTCCCCTGCGGGTCCAGCAGGCGTTGGGGTATCGGACGCCCCGGTAAGGCCGCACTCGGAGCCATCCTTTCCCCAGCTATGCCCCCCCCACGGTTGCTTTAGAGATCCGTCGCCCTCCAGGAAAGGTTCAAGGTGCAGTTGTCTCCGCAGCGGTCGGGATCCCGAGGATCACGGATGCATTCGGAGGCGGCAGTTTGTCCATAGCCGCCGCTTCGGGGATGGATATTCGAAGACCTCGGCAGGTGGCGGCTACGGATAACTATATTCGGGCCCCGTGGGGCCAACATATACCGCCCGCAGGGGTCCAGAGTCGCCGGCTGTACAGGCTCTGGACATGGATATATACAGTCGAAACGGACGGGAAGGATGGGTCGCCCTCCCAGGGGTACCCTTGCATCCTGATCGCGCATCCTTACCATCAGTTTTGATTGTGTCCTTGCCTCACATTCTTGGGCTCTCGTCTGCGATTCTCGGCCTAGGGGAGTCCCAGGGCGTCCAGGGCGCACTTTCGTCGGGGCCGCTCTGGCTCGCAGGAGAATCTAGGCTTAAGTCGGGCGTTCCCTCTACAGTAGGAGTATTTAAAACTAGTTCCAAAATAGTCTGGGGATGTTTTTTTGATTATTGTTTGACTATCTTTAAATCTGTTTTAAACTATTTTCCATTGTCCCTCCAAGATCTGCCTGTAAGAGGACGCGCCCGACCTAAATCTAGGCCTCCCAGATGGGGTCCAAGGATCTCCCCGCATCGCCGATGCATCGGCGACACGGCTCGACGTGGATCCCGATTTTCTTGACGCCGACGTCGCCGAGGCATCGCCGGCGTCTACGATGCATCGCCGATGCATCGCCGATGTCTCGTTGATGTGGCGCGACCCTCCGACCCCTCCCGCTCGGACCCCGTTTGGGATTCCCTTACAAAAATCAATTCGACGAAAGGGCGAGCTTTCCGATGGTATCACCCGATCGCTGAGCGCGGAGCTGCCGCAGCGGCAGCAGCGGCTCGCGCGCCCTTGTTTGGTCACCCCGCGTCCCCCTGTGAGGTCCTGCACCAAAGGTAACTCTTGCCAAGTGTTGTGGAAGTCGGCTAATGGAGAGGCAGCGTACTGCCAAACAAGCTCCAGATGTATAACAAGTGTTTCAAACATGCTTAACATAGGATAAAACACGTGTTTGAACCGTCTTAGAACTTGTGTTACAAATTTAAAGACATTTTATTCAATGATCGGATTGTTAGATTGTCCATTGCCATGGCATCCACAATCCAAGTGTTTTTCACAGGGCGAGTGGTCCTAGAGGTCTTTGCGAGGTCTTGTGCGGGATGCCTTGCGCGGCCTCGTGTGGGCTCTTGGGTTGGTCTCGGGGGGTCGACTCGCATTCTCTTGCCCTGTTCTCCTGGACAGATCGTCTTGTGCGCGTCTCGTGCGGGACCGCTTTTCGCTCGACCACTGCTTGGTCGTAGAACAAGCAGTGGTCGAGCAGTAGACCGCTCATCGCTCGACCATCGTTAACATATGGTCGACCGCTCTTCGCTCGACCATCTGTTAAAGACAGTAGGGTCGCTCTTGCTGAAGTCGGGCATGTCTTCTACACGAAGAGTTTTGGAAACCAGCCGAAACATAGTCGGGGGACGATTTCTCGACCCTGTTTGGCTATGTTTGAGTACTTTGTTGACTATTTTTCCAGTTGTCCTCCAAAATCCGCCCGTAGGAGGGCATGCCCGATCCTGAGTGTAGCCGAGAGAAGGCCACTGACGTGGCAAAGCTGGAGCGGCAGCTCGCTGAGGCCGCGGAGAGGCTGGCGCCCTCGCACTGGGCGGTGGGGGCGCTGCACGACGCGGCGCTGCGCCGCCTCCTGGCGGCGGGGGAGCTCGGCCGGGCGCTGCCCCACCTGGAGGCGAAGCCTTCGGTAGCAAACCACGGGATCCTATGCAGTGCTCTGGTTTTTTCTTCGTGCATTGGAGGCCCGTGCCAAGAAACATCCTGCTTGCCTCCAGGGTGCCCTGGGTTTGCAGTGAGAGGCGCGACGCTCCCACACCAAAAATCCATGGACGTCCTGGGGTCTCGGGGTTGGGTTTCTTGTGGAGGGTTTCTTGTGGACGGGCCTCCACTGTAAGCGTGGGGGGGGGCCCCCCCGACGGGGGTCAACCTCGCCTCGTCGTTGCGCCGCGACGGGGGTCAGAGCGCCTTCGGCGCGCGGTGGCTGCCCGCGACGGGGGTCGATGTGGGGCTGTCGGTGGGGGTGACGGCCCCCAGACGTTTGTTGAGAAATTCGGAGTACCCTCTCAATTCCGTCTCTTGCGTCGATTCGCGTCGATGAGCGTCGATCGGCGCCGATTTACCTCCGATTTAGCGTCTGTGGGCGTCGAGTAGCGTCGATGTAGCGTCGATCGGCGTCGATGTAGCGTCGATCAGCGCAGATGCGCAAGCGCCGACACTGGAGGCTCCCGTGAGTTGCCGCCGAGCGAAGCTGCTCTGCCTGGATGCCGCCGGGCTGGGCCTGGGCGCTCGGGACAGGGAGACGTGCACGCAGCTGCGCCGGATGCTGTCTTCTGGCGAGGGCGACGCCACGGATGCCCGCACGGACTGACCGATGGCGGCACGTCAGGAACAGAAGGGGGGGGTGATCCACGCTCGCGACATCAGAGTTGCGGGAGGACAAAGGTGGGATGGTGTTGCTTCTCCTCCGCATCCCCCCCGTCTGCTCTTCCCTCCTCTTTCGCGTCCCTCCTCCTTTTCCATGCCTCCCTCCCCTCCTCTCCAGTCCTCAATCCTCCTTTTCCTTATCTTTCCTTCTCATCCTCCATCTTCCCTCCTCCTCCCTACAGTCGGACCCAGGTATAAGATCGAGGTCGGTTCGGGGAGGGTACCCTATTGTTCTCAATGTGTGTGTTGGATGTTATTGTGCATTTTAGGGAGGGTACACTTGGATGTTGTGTGTGTATGTGTTTTGGCCGCGCTTGTTGTTCTGTTTTGTTTTCGTCGCAGGTTCGCGAGGTAGCGTTTTGTATTGAAACGGTTTTTGCTTTCAACGGCAACAGCATGTCTTCAGCAGGCAGCGTTTTTAATCGGCGCGCTTTGTTGATTGTTTTATGTTTAACGAAAACCGAGGTTTAAATCCAAACAGCGTTGGTTGCCACCGCTGTGTTCTTCTGTCCTAGGTTCGACTCTACCTCTCCTCCCTTTGGTCGTCCCCCCTCCTCGCCTCCATACGCTTCCTTCCTCCACCCCATCCACCAGGAGGAAGAGGGGAAACTCTAGGCCTCCCAGATGGGGTTCGAGTAGATGGGGTCGGAGGACTGCGCCGCATCGCCGATGCATCGGCGATGCGGCTCGATGTGCAGCCCGATCTGCCTCACGTCGACGTCGCCGATGCATCGCCCACGTCGACGATGCATCGCCGATGCATCGCCGATACATCGCTGATTCATTGCCGATGTATTGGCGATGCGGCGCAGTCCCCCGACCCCAGCTACTCCGACCCCATCTAGGAGGCCTCTACAGGAGGAGCAAGGGAAAACGACCATGTGGAGCAGAGGCGGCTTCACATCGGTCTTTCTTTTGAGCGTGCTTGAGGTTTACCCGTCGGTCGTTGAAAGTAGGTATCTTCGGATTCCCAGAGCCAGGCCTCGGAAACAAATAGCGAACACTCATGCCACATTTATCTGTCAACGCCTCCCCCTCCTCCCAATGTTCAAAGTTGGCGGTGGGTCTGATGAGTTGCACCTCGACTGCAGTCTCCTTCGCGCGTGCCAACTTTGAGTTTGGGGGCAGGGGGGGGTGTTTACTAATTGTTTCCCTCTACCGGCTCAATCTACTTTGAGCTCTCCTGCGTAACGAGTCGAATGGCCTTCCCTCTTCCCTCCTTTTTCGGGGGGCGGGCAGAGATCCAGTCTACTTCCGACGTTTTCCCGCCTCATGTTTCTACCCACTGCTTCCGACCGACGGGCAGCCGTGCAGTGCCAGTGGCGTCTGGTAGCCGTACCTCTGTGATTTGAAGTCTTGGAAGGGGTGGGGGGTGGGGGGGAGGGCGGCGCAGGAACAGCAAGGGGGGACGCAGGGGGAGGAGGAAGCGGCGCAGGAGCAGGAAGGGGAGGAGGGGGCGGACGAGGAGAATCACGAGGAGGAAAAGGATCAGATAGACATCATTGATGCAACAATGGTGCTGCTCTTCCCCTCGCAAGGCCCCTCCCGATACGTCCTTACAGCCAGTCCGACTAACGGCGGGAGGCGCCCCATTGCAAGACGAACGCTCCATTGGCTTGCCATTCAGGTGGAGCCCCGCGTTTGAGGATGAGCCCCCTCAGAGGAACTGGGTCATGAGAAATACAAAGACGCAAGGCCATACAATTCACGGCAGTGCTACGCGGCAGTGTTACGCCATATAATTCACCAGGCGACCCCCCCACCTTACAGACTGCTTCTCTTCCCCTGTCCTGATGCCCCCTCGCCAGGCGACCCGTTCCCCGCCCATGTCGAAGCCGCCACCCGCACGTACGATTCCTGTCTGTTGTCTGCGGTGCCTGGCTCCTCGTTGCAATGCTCTCCTCCGCTGATTTCCCGGCGCTGCTGCGCAGTAATCTATTCCATGCCCTGTCGCTGCGTTTGCAGACGGGTGGAGTGTCCGATGCGAGCAGTCTCCCCAATCTCCCCGTATCGCCTCATCCCTCGTCGTCCTCCTTCCACGTCCTCCTTCCACGTCCTCCTTCCTCTCTCCCCTCCCTCCTGGGTGCTCCTCCTCCTCCTCCTCCTCCTCCTCCCTCTCCAGACGGAAGCTCCAGCCCCGCCTGCCGCAGGAAGAGGTCGGAGAGGCAGGCCAACCGGAAGCGCACCTTCCTCGGAGTGGAGGTCAGCGCCCGGGAGGCCCGGGAGATCCCCACGGTGCCCGCGCCGGACGCGGCAGCGGCGGCCACGGCGCAGCCGCCCCAGCCGGCGCTCGCGCAGAAGCGGCCGCAGCAGGCCCTGCCCGCGGGCACCTCTGTGGGCGGCGTCGGCGCTCAGCCGAAGGCGGCCCCGCCCCCGGTGCGGCCTCCCACCCCCGAGACCTCGGGCGTCGCTTAAGGAGGGGTTCGGGCCGGACGAAGGGGGGGGGATAGGGAAAGGGGGGTCACGAAGTTTGCTGCGTGTAGCCGGTTTCGGCCCCACCGAGGGGCCCATTCCTCGATGCATGGCCGCCTCCGAAACCAAACTACGTGAGCCGATTCTCCCCCCCCCTCCTTTGCGATCCCCCCCTTTCGCCCAGCCCGAGGGGTGGGGGCGTCTGTAGTTCCCATCGTGCTTCAGGACCACGTCCCAGACATAACCTCGAGCACCCAGAAGAGCAGCGGCACGGTGTGTGGAGCGAGTGTACCGCCTCCAGAGGCCCGACGCGTGAAGGCCTCCACTCCAGTTTGGGCACTTTTTTTCGGTGCTCGAAGCTCTTCCTGGTGATCAGGGCCCAGGTAGGCTGGAACATCGTAGAGGGGGGGCGATACAGTATTGGTATTTTCTGGTGCTCGAACTTCTTTCTGTTGATCAGGGCCAAGGCAGGCTGGAGCATCGCAGAGGGGGGGGGGGCGATGGGGTGAGGGGGGCAGGGAGGGCCGCAGAACAGGGGCCCTCGAGGGCCCCCCCGAAGGCGCCCGGAAGGGCCCGAGGGGGGGGCCTCCGGGGCCCGAGAAGAGCACCTACGCACCTCTCTCTCTCTCTCTCTCTCTCTCTCTCCCCCCCACGAATCCCCCCCCCCACGGCGCATCAAGGCTGAAGTAGGTCGGAACAGCATAAACAAAGGGACGGTCTGCGACGTGTCTGTCATGATTCACCAGAGAAGGGGCCCCAGATCCTTTTCTGGGGAGGGGACCCGAGCCAGGAGGGCCAAGAACATTGGGGACATGGGGGGTCTTTTACCGCGGGCGCATCGGGCCACACCGCCTCCCGACAACAGGAGCAATGAACTGACGATCTCGTGGAGTGCCTCAAGCGCGGCTACAAGTTAGCGCTACTAATTACTAGTACTACTGCTTCTGCTGCTACTACTGCGAATCCCCCCCCATGATCGGCGGCGAGCGAAGGGGGGAACTGAGAAGGAGAGGGCCCTCTCAGAAGGCCAGCGGGACTTCTCCGAGGCCCTCGCGCCTTGTGAGAAGTTTCTTTGTGTCTTCGGGGACTGCTTCCGAGCCTTGTGAGAAGGTCAGCCCATTCTCACGTCCCCCCCTGGGCGCGACGCCCACGGGCCCCTCGCGGGGGCCTCCATGTGGTGTGGTGACCACACCGCGCAGTGAGTCCGTGGGGCTTCGGGGTCACTGGCAGGGATCTGGGGCTCGGGTCGCTCTCCGGGGGCGTCCCGGGCGATTGGGGCCTCCAGGATCCCGAAACCGCGCGGTGACGGACTGCGCGGTGAGGTCGTTGGGGATTCCGAGGTCACCACGCGGTCGTCACCACACGGCTCTGGGGCCCCGAGACCTCTCGAGGAGCAGCGCATGACACGAGCACGCATTCTCGGAGCGCCGCGCGGCGTTCTTGGATCGGCGCTGGAGCCCCCTGGCGGCGCTTCCGGCGCCGCCCCTGGCGCGCTCGGCGCGCCAGGCAGGGGGGCCAGCACCGAGATCCGAGAAATCCGCGCGGATCTCCGAGAACTCATGCCTCAAACGCTCCTGTTCCCAGAGAGGCGGAGGCCTTCCGAGAAGCCCCGCCGCCTTCTGGGAAGGCCTTTTCCCAACCCTCCTGCGTAGGGTTCTCGTTTTGAATAGAGCACTGCTCGCGCGAACCTTCCTTCTCGCCTCCCGTCCCTCCGTCCCTCTCTTCCCCCCTGCCTTTCGCCTCGCTCGTCGCTGCGTGCCAGCTGGGGGGCTGCGATTTGTGAAACTGTCGCCACTTTCGAGGGCTGCTGGGGGGCCCAGCACAGTGGGTACCCACGGCGGATTCAAATGGGACCTCGCCATCCCTGGGGGGCTGCGATCTGTGAAACTCTCGCCACTTTCAAGGGCTGCTGGGGGGCCCAGCACAGTGGGTACCCACGGCGGATTCAAATGGGACCTCGCCATCCCTGGGGGGCTGCGATCTGTGACATTGTCGCCACTTTCGAGGGCTGCTGGGGGGCCCAGCACAGTGGGTACCCACGGCGGATTCAAATGGGACCTCGCCATCCTTGGGGGGCTGCGATCTGTGAAACTGTCGCCACTTTCGAGGCCTGCTGGGGGGCCCAGCACAGTGACGCCCACGGGGATTCAAATTAGACCTCGCCATCCCTGGGGGGCTGCGATCTGTGAAACTGTCGCCACTTTCGAGGCCTGCTGGGGGGCCCAGCAGTGGGTACCCACGGCGGATTCAAATTAGACCTCGCCATCCCTGGGGGGCTGCGATCTGTGAAACTGTCGCCACTTTCGAGGCCTGCTGGGGGGCCCAGCACAGTGGGTGAAACTGCGTCGCCACTTTCGACGGCGGCATCCCTGGGGGGCTGCGATCTGTGAAACTGTCGCCACTTTCGAGGCTGCTGGGGGGCCAGCACAGTGGGTACCCACGGCGGATTCAAATGGGACCTCGCCATCCCTGGGGGGCTGCGATCTGTGAAACTGTCGCCACTTTCGAGGCTGCTGGGGGGCCCAGCACAGTGGGTACTCACGGCGGATTCAAATTAGACCTCGCCATCTCTGGGGGGCTGCGATCTGTGAAACTGTCGCCACCTTCTTACTCAAATGGGACCTCGCCATCCCTGGGGGGCTGCGATCTGTGAAACTGTCGCCACTTTCGAGGGCTGCTGGGGGGCCCAGCACAGTGGGTACTCACCGCAGACTCAAATGGGACCTCGCCATCCCTGGGGGGCTGCGATCTGTGAAACTCTCGCCACTTTCGAGGGCTGCTGAGGGGCCCAGCACAGTGGGTACTCACCGCAGACTCAGATTAGACCTCGCCATCCCTGGGGGGGTGCGATCTGTGAAACTGTCGCCCCTTTCGAGGGCTGCTGAGGGGCCCAGCACAGTGGGTACTCACCGCAGACTCATATTAGACCTCGCCATCCCTGGGGGGCTGCGATCTGTGAAACCGTCGCCCCTTTCGAGGGCTGCTGAGGGGCCCATCACAGTGGGCTTCCCGCACGTCTTTTCCTGCTCTTCGTTCCCGACTCCCCATGTCTTCTTCGAGCCTGTAGTTGTCGCCCTTCGTTCTTGTATGGTGCTCCTGCGCATCATGCCATTGGCGCGTGTCCCAAGTAGCTTACATATCAAACAACGGATCCTGCAATTTGATGGTCCGTGCAAGTTTCGGCCAATTCCTCGTTTCCCATGATACAAATGGGTTGGGTACGTCACAGGGTAATTTCTTTTCCGCTCCCCCCTTCCGCTCGCCGCCGAGATTTAGGTCGGGCACGTCCTCCTACAGGCGGATGCTGGACGAGAATTGGAAATTCTTCACTGCGTAGAGCTCCCAATGTGTGCATCTATTTGCATGGACCTGTCCGCCGTGTCTAGTCTAGGCGCAAGAGTTTCCGAGCACAAACGGGCTTGGGTATTGAGGGTTTGGGAGTGAAACTAATTGCGAATGAGTTGGAGGGTAACGGAGTCTCAGTTTTATGTCGTCTTTGCGCATGGCCTGGGGCCTCCCGGGGGGCCTCTTGAAGCCTCCTGGGGCTCTTTGGGGCCTCCTGGAACCTCTCGTGGTCTCGAGGGGCCTCTTGGGGCTTCCTGTGGCCTCCTGAGGCCTCCTGGGGCCTCGCGTGGCCTCCCGGGGCCTCCATGAGCCTCCTGGAGACTCCGGGGGCCTCTGCGAGAGGACTCGTGCCCTAGCAGAGGCTCAATCTATAAGAACAGACGTGAAGCACTTCGGATCTGAGCCACAGGAGAGAGGGGCAATCTATAATCTATAGGAACGCACGTAATACACGAAGGACTCGGGCCACAGGGGAGGCCCAATATATAGGAGCATCCGTAAAACACTCATGAGTGGGTACACTAGAGAAGGACAATATATAGAAACAGACGCAACACACCAGGGTTCGTACTTCATGGGAGGCCCAATCTATAGGAGCATCAGTAAAACACCGGGGATTGGAGCCGCTCCTGTGTCCTTCTGAGGCCTCCTGCTCCTGGGGCCTCGTGGGGGCTCCTGGGGCCTTTGGGGACTCCTGGTGCCTCCTGGCGATTCCTGTGGCCTCCTGTGGCCTCCTGTGGCCTCCTGGGGCCTCCTGGTGCTTCCTGAGGCCTCCTAGAGCTTCTTGGGGCCTCCTGGGGCCTCCTGTGGCCACATGATGCCTTCTGGGACCTCCTGTTGCCTCCTGGGGCCTCCTAGAGCATGCTGGGGCCTCCTGTGGCATCCTGATGAGGATCCCTGCCCACGAGTCTGGCCAGCAGAACAGGTCGGGACATCCTCGCAATCTGGGCCACCATGGGTGTGAGAACCAGCTCCTCACTCGAGACATCCTCACAATCGGAGGATGTTGGGAACCAACACAGGCACCCCGCTCGAGACATCCCCGCCATTTTGGCGCGAACGGAGGATTGCAATACCACTTGGCGGCTCCCCCTTGGGGCTGCAGAAGCTCGCGCCTCGCTCGAGGCATCCTCAGAAATTGCTCTGCCATCATCATCATCATCATCATCATCATCATCATCATCATCATCATCATCATCATCATCATCATCATCATCATCATCATCATCATCATCATCATCATCATCATCATCATCATCATCATCATCATCATCATCATCATCATCATCATCATCATCATCATCATCATCATCATCATCATCATCATCATCATCATCATCATCATCATCATCATCATCATCATCATCATCATCATCATCACCACCACCACCACCACCATCATCATCATCATCATCATCATCATCATTCTCATCATCATCATCATTAGCAGCAGCAGCATCATCATCATCAGCATCAGCATCAGCATCATCATCATCGTCGTCGTCGTCTTCGTCATCATTATCAGCATCAGCATGATCGTCGCCATCATCATCATTACCATTCGCATCATCATCAGTAGCATCATCATCACCACCATCATCATCATCATCAGTATCATCAGTATCATCATCATCATCATCATCATCATCATCATCATCATCATCATCTTCACTTTCATCACTTTCATCATCATCATCATCATCATCATCATCATCATCATCATCATCATCACTTTCATCATCATCATCATCATCATCATCATCATCATCATCATCATCATCATCATCATCATTAGCATCAGCAGCAGCAGCACCATCATTATCATTATTATCATGTGTGTTCGAGCATTTTCTGACTATGGTTGACCTTTTGACCTAACACTTTGGTTCCCAACATCACCGTTGAGCAACATGGCCGTTCGCCCGGCCTTGGACAAAGCCACCTGGACCGCACAGTGGGCGCCTCCTGGACGGCCCTGGGCGTCCACTGCACAGCCCTGCCCTGGGCGATTCCTTCCACGGGTACGCTTACTGAACGGCTTCGCTTGTCGGGGTGCTCATCATGGGGGTGGATTTCCTTCTCGCTCCTCCTCCTCCTCCTCTTTCTTCCTCCTCCTCCTATTTCCTCCTCTTCCTCCTGCCTTCTCCTTCTCCTCCTCCTCCTCCCTCCTCCTGCCATGGGTACGCTTACCAGACGGCTTCGCCTGTCGGGATGCTCACACTTAGGTCGGGCATGTCTTTCTACAGGAGGAATAATCGAGAATGGTTTAAAAAATAGTCAGGGCACGATTGTTCGCGCTCTTTTGACAATTTTGGAATACAGCCGAACCAAGGTATAAGATCGAGGTCGGTTCGGGGAGGGTACCCTAGTGTTCTTCGTGTTTGTTGGATGCTCTTGTGCATCCTGGGGAGGGTACCCTTGGATGTTCTGTGTGGTTGGGCTGGCGGAGGGTCTCAAGTTCTTGAGGGATGTTCTTCTGTCCTAGGTCCGACCGTATGTTTTTCAAATGTCTTCCAACATCCGCCTGTAGGAGGCTACTCTTTTCGGGATGTTGACTGTCGAAATCGATAGTAAGGAGGGGCAGCCTTCCCAAGGGTATCCTTTCACCCTTGTCTCCTCCGTCCATCCCTGCCCCTTTCGATGGCCAGCCCCGCTCGAAAAGCTTGGACATGGGCGTCCCAGGGGCTTGCGTCCTTACTGGAGAAACCAAAAAGGTACCCGTACCGTTGCGACCCAGACCTCTCCCGGGGAGCGTTCTCACTTGAACCTCGAGGCGAATCCAGCGGTGGTGACGACGGCATCTCAGGAGGTGTGACGGTTCCCAGGTGCGCATCATTATCATCGGCTTTGTCTGTATCCGGGTGCGTTTCCGCGCGATTCCGCCACGGCGCTCGGGCGGGCGGGGGGAGGGGCCTCGGAGGGGGATGTGTGCGTCGGACCTCCCTTCCCCCAGGCTCTGCATCTCGCAGCAGGCCTTAACGGCCAGTGCCGCCGAGCCTGAAGGACGAGAACGACGTCGACGACGCCGGCGACCACCACCACCACCACCACCACGACGACGACGACGACGACGACGACCACGACCACGAGCACGACCACGGCCACGACTACGACCACGGTGACGACTACGACCACGACCCCGACCACGACGACGACCACGGCAACGACGAAGAACAATCAACAACTGAAGGAACATCGTTGATCTTGCCCTCTTGGGGTTCTCTTGGGCGTGCTATTGGAGCTCCCTTAGGCCTCTTACGACGAGAACGTGCAAAAACTGAGGGAGCATCATTGATTTTACCCTCTCGTGGTTCTCCTGGGAGTACTCTTGGAGCTCCCTTGGGCCTCTTGGGGGCCCCTTGGGGGCTTCTTGGGTGCCTCTTGGGCCTCCCCCCCAGCAGGGCAGGGATCCAAGGGAAGGGGCTTTTCTTCGACTCGACTACGGCGTTGCTGGAGCTCCCGCTGGCTGGAACGCTTGAGGAGGAGGACCCGCGGACAGGGGATGAGTGGCGACGTCGACGGCGACGACGACGACGACTCCAACGGGAGAGCCCCTCACAGGCCGACAGGGCAGGGTCGGTGGATTCTGGGATCTTTTCTGTATAGAAGACCGGGCATGCAGGGACATGGCCACGCAAACGAACGCATCTTCGGCTCGACGCGTGGGAGTGGCCTTAAGTATTTGCTTCGCAAGAGGCGCAATGGCCCGACGCCCACCAATTATGCGAACGTTTTTTTATTCATTGTCTTGCCGATCGGCGCGGGCCCTCGCACCCCCCCTCCCCCCCCGCCTGGAGTAGATCCCTGTTTCGAGCAGGTGCCGTCTTCCCCACAATGGACACTGCTGCAAACCGTTGCGCTGAGCAGAGGTTCAGAGCCAGACCCCCCCCTCCCCCCCTCTCCGCTCAATGCCGAAACGCCGAATATGATCACGCTCACTACAGTTGGGGCGCGTATCAAGAAACCATATGCTTTTCGTCAGGGTATCCTGGGTCTCTTCGCTCCTCGCGCTGCGCGGTGACTTCCCGCAGCCGTTGAAGGAGCCGCTGCGTTCGGGGTGCTCCAGGTTTCCCCTCAGGTGCACCTCGCGCACGGGTTCTCAGAGTTGGGTTTCTTGCGAGGGTTTCTTGCGGCCGCGCCCGCACTATATTCTCGGGCCGGGCGATAGGGCAGGGACAGGGACGGGGGGGGGTACGAAATTTGCTGCATGCAGCTCGTTTCGGGCCCGCCGCCGGGTCCATACCTCGACACGTGGGCGCCTCCTGGCGCCGAGAGGCGCCCAGGTATATACCCTCCCTTGGCCATCCCGAGTGGGCAGATTCCCCACGCTGCGTGAGCGGACTCCCTACCCATGCATGCCCTACGCTGCGCGAGCAGATTCAAGCCCCTACCCTTTGCTGTCATCCCTTTCGTCTCCCCCGACGCCCTCCCCCGCGAGGCGACGTGGGCCTCCTCCTCGCCGCAGGCGGCGCGACCCCCCAGTGGGAGAGGGGGGGGGCGGGGGCGGGCGGGGCGCCCGCCCAGGGCGGCGCGCCAAGCCGCGCTCCTCTGTGGGCGCTGCTCTGTGGGGAGGGCGGGGGGAGGAGGGAGTGGAGGGAGGAGGGAGCAGGGAGGAGGGAGGAGGGAGCAGGGAGGATGGAGGAGGGAGGAGGGAGGGGGGAGGAGGGAGAGGAGGGAGGAGGGAAGAGGATAGGAGGAAGGAGGAGGAGGAAGAGCACAGGCGAGGAGGGGGAGGATAGGCGGAGGAGGAGGAGGAGGAGGAGGAGGAGGAGGGAGGAGGAGGAGGAGGAGGAGGAGGAGGAGGAGGCGGAGGCGGAGGCGGCGGAGGCGGCGGAGGAGGAGGAGGAGGAGGAGGAGGAATTACAGGAATTACAGCCTTCGCGTAGCGAAAAATAACGATCCACCACTCAAGCCATTGCTCGAGGCTCATATTACTTGCACTTAGCAAACTCGTCACGTCGAATTCGGTCAAGATATTCCCGACGAGCCTTGGAAACAGGTAACTTGCAAGGGGTACCAAGTCCTCTGAGTTGGGACTGTCCGAAATACCCGCAGGCATTGCAATACCATATTCCTAGAACGTGATGAAACATTAGGGCATGCGAGGGGTGGGCCCAACCTCCAGCGATATGCATACGACACCCCCGTTTCACCCGAGACACTCTACCATCCATGGAAACTAAAGCGTTGCAATCACTTTTTAGCCACTCGGACAATGTAGCTAAAGACGCTGACCCATGGCACGCAGAACAGGACTTACTGCTTTCAGTAAGGGTGTGTGCCGTCGCGAAGCGTGCAACAATACAGGGCGCAGGAGGATGCGGTAAAGGAGGCCGCGGGGAAGGAGGGGGATCATCTCCACCGCTGTCTGACCGAGCAGCGGTTCGAGCAGCACGTCTGTGCGCTGCGGCCTCCGCCTTCAGCTCGGTCTCACGCTGGATCGAGCACAGACCTGCTCGAAGGAGCCGTCGCCGTACGAGTACGGCCTTCTTCTCCACCATCAGCACACGATGTCGCTCTCCAGCTGGTACTCGCGCCGCCACTGCGGCCTCACCTGCGAGGTGGTCCACTGCTGCATTGCCTTGGACCATCCAGCTGGGCAACTGCCGTTTGCATACTTCCTCTGCGTCCAAGTGTGACGGAATCTGCATCAATATGATATCTGTGGCGGGTCGCTGCTGCTCTGCAAGGTGCCGTCCGATGAGCCTCCACAGCCCAGCGTGACATCCTTCAGGTTGGCGAAACAGCTGTGCCCACCACCCTCGGCATACTTCGAGCAGTCTGTCACAAAAATCAATTGACCTGTGGTGCTGCGAATGGCAAGCTCAAGGGCCGTGAGCTCACCTTTGGGCACAGTCTGTACTCCTCCCGCGAGTGGCCCCATCAGAAAGGGCCCCACCGTGAAAGGCGTGAAACTCGTGATCACACAGACTGCTAGCCCAACTCGCCGCAACCGAACATCATGAGTGTCGGGGCCGCCTGAAGCGTCTCCGAAGGCATACACCGGGCACTCGGCGGTGCCGTGGCCTAAGCAGGCCTGTCCGTCATGCAAATTACCTCCTGACCAGGATTCGAATGCGCTCGGAGGAGATACTCTCGTCCAATGCGCTGGTATGATGCCCCGACTCCAGAAACACGGGTGTGCGTCATGATCCGCCACTGCTTCTGGAACAAGGTATTCCGATTGCTCGAAAGCTTTGCCGTCACTGCTACACTTGCACAACCAATTCTTGTGGACGTCGGACTCAGGAACCTCAGAACATCTGTCACAGATATCGGTGGTGCCGATGTTGACACTATACTTACGTACATTCGTCCAAACTCCACCAACAGCGATCGAAACCATAAGTTCGGCAAGCTGCCGTCCTTTGTGCACATGCTGTAGGCTATCTATATACCGTCGCAAACTGATCAAGTCTGCACCTCCTTCTAATCCTCCTCCACAGTGTAAGTCAGCAGCTTCTCGCCACTGTCGCAGAGCCAATGACCCTTCAAACTCCCGAAGTAGATCATCTGCCTGGTCCAACGCGCACAAGGCTCCATCATCGAATTTCCACGCGTGAAGCCCTTGCCCGTCGTCATTGGGGAGATCCCACTCTGATGGAGAAATAGGATTCCAGCCGGCTTGCAAAAGATAAGCGACCACCGTTGACACTGGTCCTCGAATATGTCTGGAACGTTGGGCGGCAGGCAGCTGACGAAAATGTTGCACTACCTGCGGCCGCACGATAAACACCTGCTCGAATCGATGGCTCCGTAATCCACACCTGCAGCCATTGAGAAAGACATTGGCGAGGGAGTACGATGCCTGGATCTGCACATGCCGCTCGCAGCCCGATCAAGGTGGTGACGCACCGACCTCGACGAACTGCACCTGAGGCAGCGCCAAGTCGCCTACGTTGCAACTCCATAGCGCTACCAAGCTTACCGTAAATTTGATGTCCGTACGTGGCCACGGCCTGTGGTCCTGCACGCTCAATGCGAGACGTAATCTTGTATCGCCTAGCTGCTGCAACCATTCGCCGTAACTTCTGATGCTGGGTACCTGCTTTGATAACTCGCTTTCGTGCCGTCTCTCGTGCGTGTCGGACTCCACGCCCCATGTCTACTCCCAAATACGCCGTCTGCAAGGCTGCGGTGATATTGATACCTCTCCCACGAAGTACCCGAACCGCAGCCTTAGCGTCGGCGTGAGAAGTGCAAGTCACGACGCTCTTGGCGGCAATACTAAGTGAGACATTCTGAAACTCAGCGACCGTATCCGTGATGGTCTCAATAAGATCACGTCGAACTTGAACTCTCGATCCTACCGTTCTCTGTGCCAGATCGTCGATCCAGATTCGCTCGGACATCCGAGGGTGCGCGGTGCATAATGTTTGCAATGCGAAATAGGTTAGACAACGACCGAGCCGCACACCGCTGCGGATACCTTGAATAATCCCGCGAGTGCTCTGAAACGGTAATGAGAAAGAACTGAACTGCGACAACACGCGGGGCATAACTCATGTCTGCATTTCCAACCCGAGAGCAACAGGAGGAAAGTTAAGTCGCAGCGCCGTGTCTGCCAATATCGGGTATCCGATGCTGCCGTAAAATGCTTCCAAGTCGATAAGCGCCTCACCCTGCGTCGCGTTCATGCGAGCGCAGACTTCAGAATTGAGTGCACGGACAAATGCTTATCTTAAAGCGCTGTTCTGTGCAACCGCTGCGTCCCAATGTGGAGCCGACTGGGCGGCCCAGGCGCGCATCTGGTTTTCCCGCGAAAAGATCCACAACCGATGGGTCATTGGCATAAGTCCAATGATCCTATCACCACCAGACTTTTTGCCCAGCAGCCGTCCGATGCGGCCACGTCACCCCCTCCTCTATGAGAAGGAATAACTGGCGCAGCTGATCGAGTCCTGCATCAGGTAGTCGTTCGAAGTCCAGCGGCGACATCTGGTCGCAGCCGAGGCCAGCCTCCGGCTTCATGCGCGCCAGCGCGCGCCGAAGGTCTGAGACTGTCAATGGTTCCAACTGCTCTACCATCGCCTGCTGTCTGACTGAAAACATCATCTAAGAGCCGATCGGTCGATAACGAACTCGAACTTCATTTGCGATGCCAAAGCCCAACGTTTTTATCAACGATCTCCTTTGGATGCGCTGCGCCCTTACCTTCGAAATGTAACTCATCAACTTCAACTGGTAACTGCTTGATACTACGATGAACAATACCGATGGCCCCCTGTGGTGCTGATCCAGTCCCGAAGCTCTCGCAAGGATTGACTCGTGGCACGAGCCCTTCCTCGCTTCCCACCTCGCTCCACGAGCTTGCACATGTCTGTCAGCTGCTGCAATGACAAACTTCCCAAATCAGCCAGCTTCGTGGTAAACTCATCCCACGTGCCTTGACCTGGGGGAAGCAGCTCGTGGATTCCTGCAGATGCTGTATGAACAAGTTTCGCTGCACTATCACTCAGCTGCTGGACCTGCACTCTGCCATGTTTACGCTTACGATGTCTTTCCACTCGACTGACTACTGTGCACATGCGAGCCCACCACGATGCACGTGTGTCCCGCAGAGGCTGATCGCGTACGTGCTCTGCTTGATGTACAGCTCCGATCTCCTGATGGGGGCCATGTGCTCGTGACCGACGAGGGGGTTCGAGTCCATGCTGATCGCTAATGCTTCTCTCCACTGCCGTCACCCATGAGGCGTGGCGAGAACTGATATGAAGAACGTGTGGTCCTGCAACTGTGAAAGCCAAGGACTCCCGAGCTGCTGGCCAGACGTCGGATTGAGTGTGTGTTTGCCAACCAACTTGGGTCCAGTGCTTGAGCCAAACCGACTCCGAGACCGCAAAAGTTGGAGCGAGGGGAGCGCCAGCAGCACAAGCAGCGGAGCTCGGAAGGGTATCGGTGACACCCTGTGCTGTGGGGCTGGGGTAAGTGTCGTCGCTGGGGTCGGCCCGACTCTCCCTCGAACAATTGCCCAACTCACCAGCCTGCTCCGCAGGCTGTGGCATCTCTGCCGCAAACCTACTTGCTACCACTCCCTGGGTCGCGGACGCTTCGGCCAGAGATTGAACGGGGTGAAAACAATTTTCGTCGGCCCAGGGGTCATCCTCATCAAGGCCCCCCAGGAAAAAAAACTGCAAATCGGGGTCATCCTCAACAAAACCGCCGAGTTCGGAAGGGGCAAGGGGCTGTGCAGGAGTCGGGACGTCACTAGGCTCCGTGCCCTCCTCCTCCCCAAGACTCGAACGACTCTGAAGCAGATCCGAAAACAATTCGTGACATGCTGCTCGGTGCTTCTCACGGCTCAGGGCAAGCTGCTCTGCACGTTTCTTTTTGGCGGCACTCGACTTACTGACAGAAGCTGCTGGCTGCGACGGGCGAGCAAGCTGAGGCAAGCGAGGCGCGGACGGCATGGTGCGTGCTAGGAGCTGCTCGCCTGTACTTTTGATTGTAATCACCAGTCCACAATGAGGGGCCCATGGTGCGTCTTGTACGGCTGCCACATCACGAATGTACGGCAAACAAGTGATATTGGCAACTACGAAGTCAATGTGAGAATCTCCATTCCCTCCAACATTTGCGAATTCGACTGGGGCCCGGATGACGTGGCCCTGTATCTTTTTGGGGAACGAGGAACGTTGGACTTCATCAACTCCAATATTGAAATCTCCTGCCACCAGCCAAGGTAGCTGAAGCGACCTCAAGAAATACCCAAGTCGTGCATGAAATCCCAGCGACGCGTGGCCGTAGAACATGACTGCAATGAATGTGAAACCTCGCTGATGTACGACCACTGGTATGAACCCGTCCAGCTCCTCTATGTCATCAGCGCAGAGGTGTGGGAGCTCTTTACCTTTGGCCACGAATCTATGAGTATGTCGATGCCCATGAGCTAGAACGAGTTCACCACCTTCGTTCGAACGAGCATCTCTGGAACTACCACCACTGAAACTCCCCCGATGCCGAGCGCAGTTGTCTAAATACTTCAAATTGAGGCTCCTAGCTTTACGCGCCCACTCTTGACGAGTAAGCGCACCCGCATGTGTCTCCACAATCCCCATGTATTGGTATTGCTGCCGTCGCTCCTGATGAGTGAGATATTCCCCGGCCTTTGGACCGAGTGCCGTGACACTCGCAAAGAATAATCTAGATTTCCCATCATCTGAAGGGTCAGCTGCAGCGTCGGCTGGCGGAGCCGTGGCACCCAGAGCCTGTCTCTGAGCGGTTGCCACTGTGGCTCGGCCAGCCCCTCCTCCTCGCGCCGAAGCCGCCGTCGCCGCAGCGCTGCCAGCACCGGCGCCCGCTGCCTGCCGCTGCGCCGCCGCCGCCGCCGTCGCCGCTGCGAGCTTGGCCTCCGACAGGCGCGCCGCCTCGTTGGCCACCTCCTGGGGCGACGGGGTTGCAGGGGCCGTCTTTGTCGCTGACGTGTCGGCCCCTGGTGCGCCACCGCCCGCCCCAGCGGTCGCGTCGGCTCCCCCTCCGCCTCCGTCGGCGACGCCCTGGCCGGCATGCCCAGTGCGGCGCTTCTTGGCCATGCGGTCCTGCACCTGCTGCTGGATGGCCATCGCCTCGGCCCTCCACTTGGCGATCTCCGTCGAGCGTGCGGAGAGCGTCTCCCGTGCCTGCTGCAGCTCCCTCTCGAAGGCCGCCAGCTTGTCGAGCTCGCTCTGCTCGCAATCCATACCTCGAAGCTCCTCGAAGAACTTCTCGTCCCAGTGCAGCTCGATGATGTCCTCCGGGTTCACTTTCTTCTCCTGCTGCGACTTCTCGACGCCACCGCCGCCGACCTCACGGGCCAGCGCTGCCGCAGCGTGCGTCCGAGCGA